GTGTGTGTGTGTGTGTATTATTTAGATTCAGTGAAGCCACTGGAAGAGTTTGACCTGTGTTTGTCAGATGGAGAGGTGATTGTTCATGGAGCAGTAGGGGCATCTGAGCTACCCAACACGGCCAAGTCAGGTATTATACGAAGTGTGCCGCACCTTCCTGACATTGCTTTACATTCTTCAGGATCTCTCTTTATCCTATTTCCCCCCCTTTTTATTTGTAACTTTCTTTCAGAATTCTCCTCGCCAAAGTCTTGCATGAATAAGTTTCTTCTTCATACAAGACTTCTCTAAAAAATTAATTGTAGAGGATTTATGGTTCACCGGAGAGACCCAGCTATAGCATAGTTTGAGTTAACTAGAAACCATTAAGGTAAGAGAGTATCATCTATGCAGTTATACCTTACTTATGTTCCCTGTGTATCAGATGTTCCCTACGTCCTGAAGCTGGAGTCCCGTTGTCATGCCCCCTGCTGGCCTGGACAGTCAGTTTACTTCATGGCTCCCAGTTTCCCAGACAAACAGCGCTGGGTGGCTGTTATGGAGTCCGTGGTGGCCGCGGGGCGAGCCTCACGGGAGAAGGCCGAGGCCGACGCAGTGAGTATCTCTGGAGCAGGCGAGGGGCCACCGGGGCAATTGGCTCTCTGTGTCCTCCATGTCTGCTGACTCTAATCATAAACTGTTAACGACTGCGGTCACAGATAACTGTCTTGTCCGTGGCTGTGGTCGTAAACTCTCTGTTTAACTGTGTGGGGGCTATTCATGAGCAGCAGATACTGTATTCTTCAAGAGTTCATTTTAAGACGTAGGTTTAGAGTTTTAGTGGATAACCCCCAGTTCACTTATATGTGTCGTTAATTGTCCCCTTCTTCTCTCCTCTTCTCTCTCCCTCCTCTCTCTCTTTGTCTTTCTCACTGCTGTTTGTTGCTTTTTCATCATGCCACATTGTATGTCCGGTATATGGGCATGTTTTGTTGATTTGTTCTATTCTGCCCATTCCATTGGGTTTCATTGTACACATAGGCTGCTGTGTCCAAAAGACAAATGGTTCTGTCTCCTCTGGTCCAGGTAAAGAGTTACAAAGATATAGATATAAGACTTACAGACACACACACACACCTGCATAACCTTCAGGAGGCACGCAGTAGTGCATGTGTCTGTCATTGTGTTGGTTGGTCACTTCCCCCCCCTTCCTGCTCACCTCACCTGCTGTGACCACTCCTCACTCTCACTGTTCTCTGCTACACTGTCACATCCTGTACAAACTCTGTGTCCATGTGCCAGTTTGAATGTTGCTAAAATCTTCTTCCCTGCCTCCGGTGTCCTGTTTTATAACCACAGTACACACCTTCTCACCAAGATGTTTGATCATCTTTGGGTTGATCCTCTCCAGCTGGGACCAGGGATCAGACAGCGGGTTTTTACCTGCTCGTGTACTCGTCTGTGTTTTTACCCTGCCGCCCCTTTCCACACTCTTTAGAGACTGGGACTCAAGTCACGTGACTCTGACTCTTCTGTGAGACATGAGTCACAAACTGGGTGACATAGACAAAAGATATAGACTCCAATTTGCAGCTAAAGAAAACTAGTATTTTCTTAATCACTTTCGCCAAATTATAACATCTGACTTGAATGATTTCCCAGGCTGCTGTTGCCGCTTTGCCAAGAGGTAAAATCAGGTTAGCCAGTTAAGAGTGAGGTTGTGATATCTTCTTAAAAAATTTGTTGTACTTAAAGGACTAGTTTATAGGATTTATTCGCAGCTCAGCGTTCCAAGTGTAGGAGAACTATGGCGGCTGTGAAACTCACAAAAATGCAAAAGGCGCTATCTAGACCCAGAGTTTGGTTTATCCATTCTGGGCTACTGTAGAAACATGGTGGTTGAACATGGTATAAAAACACAACATTTTTCAGTTATACACTAATGAAAACAAAGCTAGGAATATTATATTCCATTCCTGCCAATAGTGAAACATTGTTTCCTAACTGTTACACACTGGACCTTTAACTCAACCTGATTGATCATCTCTAGCTGTTAGGCCCCAAAACAATCCCCCAGGGTGCACTGCAGTTTACCGAGCAGGTCTTTTTCAGTTGGCTTGCTTCCAGTAAGTTAGGATGAGGAATCTCTTTGGTTTGTGGTCGACATTTCAAAGGTCTTCATATTTTTTAGATGTAGTTCAGAGGGTTCACTGAACAGAATGACAAAAAAGTCAGGTGACTGAAATAATCATTTCAAAACTTGCTCAAACAATTGGTTGAGATGTCCGTTAACGGTAAAGGTTACATTTTGTTTAACCTCATCACTTATATCAATCTAATGGCATTTGTGGAAATTGTGACATCAGTATGAGTTGACAAGTGGGTGAGGAACCAGAGATGCAGCCTGGATTAGTGGATGGATTTGAGGTGTGCGGCTTGGAGCAGGCGTGTAGGTTGAGCAGTGAATCAGGAGCCGGAGGAGAGAGAGGGATGCCACGCCCACCACACAGACATAAACAGAGAGACAGACAGGAGATAACAGGAAGCAGGGGGGAAAAGGGAAACACAGAGAAACACAAGGAAAATTAGGTTACCGGCGAAGTCGTCAGAGGTAACTCCAGACCGCTAATAATGAGTCAACAAAGCCACATTTAAACACAATAAAGGTTGTGTGACCACTTCAATCTGATCACTGGGGGTCTGTCCTGATTGAAGTGACAAATAACCTTGTTTATTTATTCACTCATTTGTTTGTGTGACATATTTGTTTATTTATTGTGTGATAGTTGAAAGTGTACTTTTCCTGTAAATGGACATCTCAGCTGTTTGCTAGAGGGTTAGGTGGTTAAAGGGTTAATGGTGCAATGACTTGACTCCCGTTCAACCTGTGACCCGACTTGTGAAAAGCCACGCTTGAAACACGAACTGGGGACGGACTTGTGACTTGGTCCCACGTCTGACACTTTTGACGTGCACACAGCCCTGCAGCCGTCCAGCCCCCCCTCTGTCCTGCCCCTCTGCTGCCTCCCCCCTGAGGTCATGTTGAGGTTGTGACCCCGCTGACCCCTCACCTCTCTCTGCTCTTACAGAAGCTGCTAGGAAACTCTCTCCTAAAGCTGGAGGGAGATGACAGGCTGGATATTAACTGCACCCTCCCCCTCACAGATCAGGTACCAGTGTCCATCACATTGTTTTACTGGCACATACAGTCTGCATCACTTTATTATTCAATAATGAATCTGCTGATTATTTGGAAAACACCTTTATCCACAGAGGCACTTATGTTTAAAAGTAGAATGATCTTAAAATGAAGGGACATGAAGCGCAGAGCAGATGCTCGGGGCTCGCAACCAAGGTTCACCACATGTTGCTCCTGTTTGAAATGTCCCCATGTTCCCCGGAATAATGATGGTTATGTTAATTATTATGTTTCCTTGCGGTCCTGCAGATAGTTCTGGTGGGCTCTGAAGAGGGTCTGTACGCCCTGAATGTCATCAAGAACTCTCTGACTCACATCCCCGGCCTGGGATCAGTCTTTCAGATCCACATCATCAAAGAGCAGGAGAAACTGCTGATGATTGTCGGTGAGAGGTCCAGCTTTGTTTGCCATTCTGCCATTATAAATAAATGAGGCATTATTATTCATCATTAGAAACTTTGAAAGGCCATCAGATCATTCAGATCTGATTGGTGTTACTTAGATATGATACATCTTGTTATACATGACAGCATGATGACTTCAGCTACTGTGTAATGTCTGTGTGTGTGTGTGTGTGTGTGTGCGCTGCAGGGGACGAGAGGGCGTTGTGTCTGGTGGAGATTAAGAGAGTGAAGCAGTCTCTGGCCCAGTCCCACCTGCCCAGCCAGTCTGAACTGGCCCCCTACATCTTTGAGACAGTGAAAGGCTGCCATCTGTTTGCTGCAGGGAGAGTAGGTCCTCCTCTCCTCTGTGAAACTTGAGATAACACAGATTGTCTGCTGCCTGACTTTAAAAGTGCTTTCTATTTGGTCAGTGGGAAAATGTGATTGCACAAACTGACCTCTGCATTCTCTTTACAGATAGACAATGGGCCTTGTATATGTGCTGCAATGCCTAACAAGATAACCATCCTGCGCTACAACGAGAATCTCAACAAATACTGCATTCGTAAGGTGAGTTTGAAATGTTAGCTTCGTTTCTCCATTGGGGGGTAAATTAGTTATTTTTATAACTAAATGTGATCATGAATTAAAATGCATAATTTCAAAGACCAGTTAAGACTTTCACACATCACCACACAATCATGACACATCATCAGGTAGATACAAATGTGTTTTGCCACTGTTAGCTAGCTAACACCCCTTCAGATGCAGTGACACAAACAGCACGAAGCGTGTGGTGAGGAAATATGACCCTGAATACATTACATTTGGATTCATGATGGCAGGCAGGGATGCTTTTCTTAAATGACGCACTCCATCCATCAAAGCTCCACGGACACTTAAACACAAAGCACCTGGGATGTGCTGGGAAGCCAAGAGAGTATTTTCTGAGGACACAACAGAAAGTCATCACAACTCAATCAAAAGCCATCAGATGTAGGCCTTAAGTCACAAAAGACTGAGAACTACATGCTAACATAGAGTGGTAGAAAACACTATACTGATACTGGAGTACAGTCTAGACCTGCTCTGTTTGAAAAGTGTCTTGAGATAACTTTTTTTTGGCGCTATACAAATAAAACTGAATTGAATTGAATTGGCACAGCAACATAACACACTAAAAAGAGGGATCAGGTTAAGAAAAAGAAAATAACAAAAACATGCATCTTTACCCATTTAACCTTTTATCTTTTAACTGATAATTTGGGTGTCCTTCCTGGTAGAAAAGTGTCAGACTCATATATTATATATATATTCCTGTTTTTTCATAAACAGAGAAAAACGAGCACAAAACAAGTGGAGGCCTTTAGCCATCATAAAGGTTCCTTGTATCAAATGCAGCGTGCAAGATTGGAGCAAAGTCTTCTCATGTCTCCATTTTTCATCTCACAGGAGATTGAAACTCTGGAGCCCTGCAGCTGCGTCCACCTGACCAGCTACAGCATCATCATCGGCACCAACAAGTTCTACGAGATTGAGATGAAGCAGTTTGTGCTTGAGGGTGAGGACAGAAAAACAAAACATAACAGCAGAGACTTGAGAGACTTCAAACTTGTTAAAAACTAGCCATCCTTCTTTGTGTTTTTCTTTTAGGAACACAGAATATATGTCTAAAGCATGTTGATCAGTTGGTTGCAAGCTGTTACTGTGTTTCATGATTTACAAGCTTAATTAGGGTTTATACAGTCTGTCCCTCCAGGAAGTTGT